CCACTCAGTCAGGGTGGGAAGAGAAAAGAATCCTACAAAAACACCAGACAAACAGAAAAATGAGCTGAAGTTTAACAGATTAAATAGGATGAGAGCAACAATAAGGTTTAGCATGAAATCTCACATGTTGTACATTATATGTAAAGAAACTTCCTGGGATTTAATTACAAAGAACATGATGACACCAGGGGGCTATTTGCATAAGCAGGATTGAGAAATACAGGCTAAGAGATAAATCTAGACTCAGCATAACTTGATCAGTTCATTCTGGCTTCATACGTTTCACAAAGGCCAAACCAGGCTGAAAGAGGTGCAGCTATGTGAAGCCAGGTGCAAGTAATACAGATAAAAGCTAAGATTCCACAAAAGATCATGAGATTGTTCATGGATTCACTGACTCTACAATGAAGAAATGGCATGTGCCATGCTTCTCAATTCATATAGGCTTATGAGGAAAAGAAGCACATCATACTAAAGAAAGGAAGCACTGCCACTATTATAAAGGAGCGAGAAAGGGCATGGCAAACAATAGATCACCTGAATGTGTGAGTAGGCTAAAAATAAACAAGTTCTAATAACTACTTTTAATGGAAAATGTAATCATTCAAGGATTTACCTGTCATTTGCTCCAATGAAAACCTTTAAATTTAAAAATAAACATTGGAGGTCTATATTGTAACCTGTGAATTCATTCCCATTACTGTTTTTGGTTCCACATCTTATCTATATTTAAACAGTACAAACATGGCTGGAGTCTGGACCAAAGAGGACTTGGCAACAGAACGTTTTGCAGACTGGTGAGTTTTTTTGTGTAAAAATGTACAAAAATGGCAGGTTGGCGTTCCTGGACTGTGATGTCTTAGTTTCTGATGGAGGACTGTTGGAAACTGACATGTATTGCAAACCCACCCATACAGACCAGTATTTTCAGTACCAGTATTTTTCCCGTCAGACATTCGACTAATGAACAATGGGCCTCATGCAAGAACCGTTCGTACGCACAGATTTGTTCTTAAATTGTGCGTACGAGTGATTTAGGAGAATTTCTGACATTCACCAATGTTTTCGTATTCTACGATTTTTTTCAGATACGAACAAAATTCACGAGTGGTCCAGACCTGTCGTATATTTTACGTGAAGTCAGTCTGCTGTTATCCAGACGGATTTTCCTCCCAAATAACTTTATATTTCGTTACTTTGAAGATATTCTGAGTTGAAAATAAATCACACTCCATAATTATGTTGACAATAAGTTATTCTGCTTGAATTAGAGTTATAATTTTAAATGTAATAATTTAGACTAACAATATAAATTGTCCGGCCGGCCGGCTTATC